TAGATCTGTCGGGTTAGTACAAGGTGTGAGCATCAAATCCAGAATCAAAGTGTGGAGCACCCTAGAATTCCAGCGGTGAGGAGGAACCTGCATGGGATTCTAAATGGGAGGAGCCTGCGATAACCTTCCTCACTCCCAGAACGACTGCCTCCCTCAAAAGCCTGATGGCTGGAGCCCCAGCAGTCATCTAACGGTAGAGTCTCCCAGAGGATCCAAGCCCCAGATAGAGGAGAGAAGAGCCAAAGACACTTCGAGAGAGGCTACCAGGGAAGGGGTCTGCTGACAGCCCTTACTATTCCCCACAGCCTGTCTCACTTAAGCCTCTCACCTCCTGGGCACAGCCGTAGGCCAGCCACTCCTGGCGGTATCGGTCAAAGCCGCTGGAGCATCTGCAGGGAAAGCAAAGGTCAGAGGTAAGAGTGTGTGTGTGTGTGTGGGGGGGTGTTGACATAGAAGCCCTCCCCTTCATTTCCCCCCTATTCAGCAAAAGCTCTCCCATGAGAGTGAGGAGGGGGCTAGTCTCCCAGGGCTAGTCAAGCTCCCCAAGATGAATGGGCAGGTGCCCTCAGCACCAGGTGGCTATGGAATCAGAAGTGAGACCCTCTTGCCCTCTCTAGTCCTTCTCCAGAAGGAGGGGAGGTTGTTTGTGAAATTCTTTCTGACCCAGCTCCCAAGAATCAAGGCCATATCTGCACTGGTGTAGGTATGTAGGGGGCTAGATGGACTGCATGATCCTTGTGACTTTTCAGGCTTCCTTAACTCTGGGCTGCCATGAAATTGCTAAGAATCCATGAAATTCACACACACACATTCTCATCCGAGGAAGTCTCGTTTATTCACTGAGACCCCTTTTTTTGCGGAAGGGCCTAAAATTGGCAAGGAGAGGCTGGGTGAAGATGGACAACAGCAGGTTAAGACAACGCCCCCCTGTGTGGTTCTTAAGGGGTAGAAATAAAGGTCCTGCCACAGGCTGGGAGAGATTAAAAACTGGATGAACAGGGTCCCCCGAGTGGACATCACGCAGCTCAGCTGGGTTGGAAGACGCCAAATGCTCCCCTAGGAAGGGTAGGGGCGTGAGGATGAACCAGACAATGGTCTCCATGTCATCATGCTCAAATTTCCCATCTTCAATCTTTGGTGCCAGGGAATCAACCAAGCCCGACTCAAGTGCAGGGACATCTGCATGGGAAGAATAGCATCGTGCACCAACAGTGCTAAGAAAGAACTCATGGCTAGTTAACTTTCTGCAACAGCAACTGCCTGCCCATCCGCCCGAGACTTGGTGAGGCTGAAGACCAAGGCTGAATTGAAGGCACTGTCAGCCTTTCCTTCTGGCAATGCCTCTGAGCTGCTCTTCCTGCAGCAGCAGTGGCTAAACTGAGCCATGCACACCCCCTCTCTCAGGTCCTCCATGCCCATTACTGTGGGGGATAGAGGGTTAGGGCATCTATTGGGAGATGAGAACTAAAGTTTTTTTAGGCCACATCGATTCTTTCAAGGACCAAGCCTTCAATATAGGTCTAAGAGCATCACATTTTAAGCCCAGAGCCACCCAACCCAGATTCAAAAGAGAAGGCATAAGAAATAGCCATTTATTGAGTGCCTCCTGAATGCCAGGAGCCGCCCCAGCCACATGCTGCCTTGCACTGTTACGTGGGACCCTCAAAATGGCATAGAAAGGCAAGGATTATGCCTTTCATTTCCTGAGCCAAATCCTGGAGTTAAAGTCACCCTTAGACTCCAGAGCAGGCCACTGGGGGGCAATGTGGGATGAAAGGAAGACCCCTGCCATGGTAAGTGAAATTGTCTAAATCAGATCCAGCCCCAGGGCAGGGAGGGGACACCCTGGGAGGCTGCAGAGGGCAGAGTGGGTGAAAGAGAAAGGATAGCTGAGATCCTTTGTGGTGACGGCAAGCAGATGTTGGTGGGAGAGACCATGGTGGCCAGCCCCAACATACCAGCCCTGCCCTTTGGCTTTTTAGGGACCTGGAGTCAGCTCTTAGTTGGAACTGAGGCTCCAGAGAGAGCTGGCAAAGAGGGGCTCAGACTGGGATGAGCCCAGACCCATTGGCATCTGAGAACCAGAGGTTTCCAGAACCACATCAGCCTTGTATGCTCTGAGGAAACTTCTCTGTCCTATAGCTGACATAACCACAGCAAAGGCGGTGTCCACACCCGCAGCCCTGCCCTCTCCAACATGACCAACCCTCATTAAACCATCATGGTCTCTGGGATTGGCGTATGAGCTAAATGAGGCTGTGTCAATGTGAGGGCTTGCTTTCATCTGACCCATTTTGCAGTCCTCATGTCTCGGCTCTTGTTGGATGCTGAGTCATGTGGTGGCAGCCAGCCCCAGGGTTCCAGGGCTCATCTGAGGTCATCGGGATTCTCTTTCCACACTCAGATGGTGGCTCTCAAACTTGAAAGTGCACAAGATGGACCACATAGCGAGGCTCCACTCCAGGAAAAGCCAATCTGGGGTCTACCCTACGTATTCGTACGGAGGCTCTGTGCCTTTTGTGTGAAGGGCCCGGAACACTGTGCAAAAATGCTGTGTGGTATTCAAGGAGTTAAAATAACAGCGTGTTCCTTACAAACTTCTCTCCGAACCACATAGACCCAGCCCATGTTACAGGAAAAACAAACTGAGGCCAGAAGAGCATGAGTAAGAACCGGGAGAGGAACACCTAGGAGGGACCCTCTCTCCTCCCAGCCCAGAGCTGTGTCCTGTGTGCCAGGTAGGCCAGCTATAAAGGTGATAGCTTTTATTTCTATACCAGGATATTGAAAGGAGGAAAGGAAACACTGATAGATGCACGACAGCTGCAGGGACTCTGTGTAATTTGCAATTTTCAAGATTGCCTTAAAGATTCCTGGAGTTCATAGGGCCTCTCACTCTCATGAGAGCCCTGGTCCCAAAAGAAATTATTATTTTTTTCCTCCTGCCGTGTATTTATCTTGGACAGGAGAACAGGACTCAACTTCTGAATCTAATCTGAGGAAATGATTTCAGAACAAGGAACGGAAGATGAGCTGGATTTAAGAACTTTATCCCTGAACCTGCATCTCATCCAGAATTTTCTCTGCTTCTAAAACCAAGCAAATACAGCTTTGTAACTTGCCCCGACTTTCCACAGAGGCCTGACATTTCCATGACCCTGTTTTCAGAAAACTCTGTTGCAGCCTGAGAAAGATCTTGAGAGGATGTTTGGGGGTCATGGGGCTCTCAAAACCAACAGCAATAGGTCTTTGGATCATCCCCTGTCTCTGAGCTGGTAGATCACACACTGGAGTGCAGAGGAGACACCCTGTTAAAATGCAGGCTCCTGGGCTTCTCTCCCAGAGATCCAGATGCAGGGGCCCAAGGCATGTCTCAGGAATCTGCAGTTTACGTGAGCCCTTGCTGATTCCAGAATGACCGCAACTGTGGACACTCTGAGAAGCCCTGGGCTAGGACAAATCAACCCCTCCCGGGTGTGAGGAGGGAGCTGCGGTAGTTGCAATCTCTGAATGATCTTTCAGGAGCCTAGTGTCACCGCAGGGCCCCTGCCATACAGTCACCTTGACCAGTCAGAAACTGATCCTCAGGGAGAAACTCATTTCTATGACATTGTTGTCCTTAGGGTCAGAGTAGACTGGCCAGATATCCCCTCATATTGGCAATGAGGCCTGAGGCAAGGAATGGGGCCGTGCTAGCCTCTGCCCCTCCTCCACAGTCTGCCCATGGGAGCCAGAGGGTCAGTCTGGGCACAAACCTCTGGAGGACATGGCACCAGCTGCAGTTGAAGGTCAGGTCTGAGGACATGCAGGCATCACAGCTCCGATGCTGCAGGCATGCTGCAAGAGAGAAGAAGACCCCTCAGCACCAAGCTCTCCACAGGCCTCCAAAAGGTACAATTTGCCTGAATGCTGGGTTTTTAGAGAACTGTGGCGTTTCGGACTAGCAAGGACCCTAGAGGTCACTATCGCCACCCTCACATGAGTCCAGCTCTGATTCCTCCTCTCCTTTCCTCCCCTTCTTCTTTTTGTCACCAGGGATTTAGGCCCTGAGCTGGTGCTGGGGATCCAGCAATAAGACCTGGTCCCTGCCTTTTTGGGCCTTACACTCATATGGGGAGACAGACACAAAACAGATAACCGAACAAAAAGAACCACATGATTATCATTTTGATGAGGTTTATGAAGGAAAATTACAGAGTGCTATAAGCATGTACAAAAGGATCTCACCTAGTCTGGGAAGTTATACTACAGTGTTGAAAGGGATTTAAAAAAAAAAAAAAATTGAGATATATTTGACACATAACATTGTGTAAGTTTCAGGTGTGCAACATATTGATTTGATACATTTATATTGTAATATGATTGCCATTGCAGCTAACACCACTATCCAGTCACAAAATTAACATTTCTTCTTATGGTGGGAAAAATTAACATCTAGTCTCTCAGCAAATGTAATGTTTATAGTACAGTTTTGTGTCTATAATCACTGAAAATGATGTTTTAAGATGTTCCGTTTTGACCCCCGTCCAGGGCTGGTCTAAAGCACTCATTCCCCACCCCTGACCCTCAGTCCATATGGAGGGATTGCTTCAGAGCCCTGCTCCTGGCCTCGCTCCACCTCCTCACTTGCCTCCTCCTGGGAGGTCTCGAGTGCTGAGTTTGTGAGGGTAAACCATGCATATGTAATTCCATTCCTTCTTCTCCTCTTGGAAGTGGGCTGCCCGTAGGGGTGTGCTGGCATCTCTGCTCATCCAGGCTTAAACCTTACTTGGGAAGTTATTTGACCTCTTGGTGCCTCAGTACCTCATTTACAAAAGAGGGATCATGAAGCTATCTTCTTGGTAGATATGTGAGGATGACATGAGATAATAACCTAGAGGGTTTAGAATAGTGCTGGCTACATGGGTGAGCCCAGCGAATGCTCCTTGTTGGTATTGACTGTTCTTATTCATCCCCCTCAATGTCCCTATGAGGCATTCATTCACTCATTATCCATCCACTCATTCTTTCATCAATATTGATTGAGCATCTGACGTGGGCCAGGCACTGTCCCACATGCTGGAGACACAGCCATGAACAGAAAAAGACAGCTGCACTGCCCACATGAAGCCTGCAGTCTGGTGGAGATGGCTAACACATACATGGAGAAATCAATCTACACTAGGGCTTCCGGTGGTGAGAAAGGCTATGAAAAAGTCGAGCAGAACAGGGAGGCCGAATGACCGCGGGGGATGTGTTCTATTCAAGGAGGTGGGGGAAGGCCTCTGAGGAGAGGACACTTGGGCAGAGACCAAGAGAAAAGAGGAAGGGAGCCGGCAGATGCTCTGGGGGTGACGTCCAAGTAGAAGAACCCCTATGCAGAGGCCCAGAAGGGTCACATCCCAGGAGTGTTCCCAACAGCAGCCAGAACACTTACAGGCTGGGCAGAGTAGAGAGGCAGAGGTGGTAGCGATAAGGAGGGACACGTGGGACCCCCTGGGCAGGGCAGAGTTGAAGAAAAGAGAAGTCAGTGGGAGCAGGCTGCTGGAGGGTGCGCAGACCCCTCGGGCACCAGCCAGGCAGAGGAGCAGAGGAGGCCAGGGGAGCAGGGGCTGTGGGGGTTGGGTTTTATGAGTTGTTCACTTGCAATCGAATGCCACTCACTTAAGTGAACCAGAATGACCTCTGAGTGGCAAATGACTGCCACAAAGCCCATGCATTTTATTGCAAGGACAGACAGGCCCTCCCCCGGAAAACATGCAGTGGAAAAGCTCATGTGATGAGCAGCTGAACAGGGCATGTTGACAGCAGCAAAAGGTGACAACTAACTACAGAAAGATGACAACTCATTCAATAAACATCACACACATTCCTTCTTTATGTGAATTTTCATGGGACTAGACCACAACCATTAATTAGGGAACGAATTTGCATTCCATGGACCCTCAACAAGGTGGCATCTGGGAACCACCCCTTGGTGAGTGGGAGAAAAGCTGTTGTGGGCACAGCCTGGTCACCTTCAGTCACTTTGTAGGAGGGATTGGCTGTAAATGGCACTGTGTCCTTTCATCTGCCAGAATTTTGCGGGCCCTGGAAGGGTGGGTAGAAAGCCATGGGTAGGAAATAAGCAGAAATTAGCCTGGCCTGAAAACAAGAGCTCTTGCTCTTTTGTTCCCTTATGTACCCAGAGGGTCTAGAGCAGTTCTGGGCACGTGGTAAGTAGTTTACATGCTTCCAGAATTGACATATAGATGCTTTTGTCATCCCCATTTTACAGAGGAGGAAAGGTGGTAGGTCTGAGTGTGAACCGAGGTCTATCTGAGCTTTTAGCCTCTGTGTGGTCCCTGTGCCCCAGCACCCACCCTCATCCCACACCAACTTTTCATGACCTTCTAGAAGAGGGACCAGCAAAGGAGTGCAATGGCTTGGAGGTGGCCCATCCATAACTCTAGAAGAATCTCGGCTAAGTCCTCCTCCAGCCAAAGGCAAGGCAGAGAGCCTGGGCTAGAGGATGCAGAGTTTTCTGAGGATAGAGCTAATCGGCCTCCCAGGGGCTCCAGTCACAACCTTGTTAGTGCTGCCCCTCCCCCACCCACTGCACCCACATGGGAGCCCAGGGCCTGGTCACTCCCAGTGACGCTGGAGGCCCCTTAAATGGCTCCAATCAAGCTGAGAACAAACCCTGGGAGCCTTGTGGATGTTCATAAAATCCACTGACCTTTACTTCTCATCTGCATTTCAGATGTCCTGCATGCTATTAAATGCTCACAAAATTCACTGGAGGGGTAGGAAGTGGCTTACGTATACAAACAGTGTCCCAGAAACGCATTCCCAGGACAATTCACTTCTTCCGCCTGGGGCAGTTAGCCTTGTCCTTTGATGTCCTTGCTCCTACATGAAATTTTATTCAAGTCCTGGGACTTGAGTTTTACTGATTCTCAGGCCCCAGGCCTCTCTTGCCTAGAGGAAGGATGGCTGGGGTGGGGTGGGGCTGTGACTTGTAGGGTGTCCCAGCCCTGTAACCCCATGGTGTCTGGGTCCTTCTTCTTTTCCAGGGCAGGACACCTGCTGAGCCCGGACTGAGTCAGGTGGCCTAGCATGTGAGAAGAGCCCTCCTCCTCCTCTCCTTTCTCCACCCCCTGCTCCCAGAACCTCCAGGGAAGAGGAAAGAGGGGAAAAAGAAGCAAGAAATGCCCCATAGGGCAGGGGAAAGGCCATGGCTTCAGAAACTGGAAGGTATCGTGAGGCAGGAGAAGAAATTAAAATCCTTTAAAAAATGTAAGAACGGGAGTGCGGTCCTCCTTGCTCTCACTTTCCGCAGCTACTCTGACCAGATGCTGAAGAGCATCCAACCCTCATTCTGTGGGGTCCACGCAGCAACGGGGGCTTTGGCCATGGCCTTCCACTGTAGGAGCGTAGGGAATGAGGGTGGAGGGGAGGGCTAGCGCCCATGGTTCTTGGAGGGCTGCTGGCTAAATCCTTTTATGGCCTTCCGCCTGTGGACTCTGGCATCACTCTCCCTCTAAGAAAAATAACAATGATAAACTTATGGTTCAATTCAGTTCTTATATTATTTTTCCTAAGGGCTCAATCTAAATTCTCAGAGGTAAATCTTTCCTGAGTTTCAATAATGTGTTAATAGCTGTTATGTCAAGCACAAACCACATCTCAGGCCCAAGAGGTGCCAGTTAGTGTCAAAATTGCCATTTATGTCCTAGACTCTCCCTACTGTGGTTCTAACCCTGACCAAAGCTCTGTGAGGGTGGCGGTGTTAGGCCCATGTGACAAATAAGAAATGGAGGTGGCTGTACCCACACGGGGGTCAGTGGTGGGCCTGGGAATGGCACTCAGTCTGTTCGACTCCAAAGCCCTTTCCAAGACAGCGGGTTGCCTTCCCTCATCAGTGGGAACCACCCCTACTTACTTGGCAACGGGGTGAATTCCACGGCCGACGTGCTGGTGACTTTGCTGGGGTCCAGCTCCACACGGTGGTATTCGAAGATGGCCCTTCGCCGAGATTCTGAAACAGAGGCAGAGCCTGTCATTAGGAGCATTTCATGGGCAAAGGGCTTCAAATTCTCTATCTGGAGCCTGAGAGGTAGGCAAGAGATTGTAGTGAGTGGAGCTGAGGGCTAGAAATAAACCCATAGACCTAGGATAATGATATTGGTGCTGTAGGAAGGACAGGTGTTGACCTTGAAAGGAGAGCTTTGGGGTATAAGCAGGTTAAACTACTCAGTGCAGAGACTGGCTGCTACCAGGGTCAGAACATAGGCGATCCGATGCCCCCGAATGCCTCTGTGCTGTCACAGCTGCTGCTCCCTTGACCCATAATGCATTTCCACCCCTTCTCTCTCTGTCAAGGATCCAGCTCAAGGGCCACTTCCTCTGAGCAGCATCTCCTTGACCACACTCTCCTCTTCCCCGTTCGGGCCAGGTGCCCTCCTCCCACTATATTCATTGCCTCGTGTGGTCATTACGTTTTATTTGGAGGGTGGGGGCATTAGACTGTGAACATCTGGTCCTAACTCTGACCCACAGTGAGCATGTGTCTGCAGATGGATGGGCCAACTTTGAAGAACCTCTCCCCCTGGATGGAGGCCAGAGCAAGGCTCAGTGCCTGGAGCCAGGCTTATGTCCTGCCTTGGTCCCTGCAGAAACTTCCCGCAGGACCTCAGAGTCAGGAGACTCGAGTTCTGATTTGAGTCCTGCTTCTGACTCACTGGATAACCTTAGGGCCTCAGTTTTTCCTCTGCGAGGTGGAAAGACAGAAGCACTTGCCAATCACCCCTGGGAGGATAAAACTGGAACTGTAGATGAAGTCTTTTTCTAAAATGCCAATCTGAGATGCTCTGATATTTCACACCACACCCCCATTCCCGCCCAAGAACTATGACTTGGGGTAGGTTTCCTCTGGCTCTATAAGGCAGGCAGGCAGCTGCTGAGCTTTACGAATGAGTTCCCCATGAGGGGAAAGGGCCACTAAGTGTTTGGTTGCCCCAGAACCCCTTTTTCCTTCTGGATTGTTTCTTCAATACCCTTTGGGGGAACTGCCCCTAGTTCTTTCCTACATGTGGTCTGCAGGGACTGCCATCTTCCTCCATGACTCTGCCTCCCTGGCCACTTAGTGATGAGTCCAAGGCTGAGCGTCTGATGGAAGCTAGACCAATCAGAGATCTTCCCTGAGACTTTTGAACTGTAACCAAGAGACCTTTTGCCCTCCAGTAATGCAGCTGAGAGGCAAGCTCAGAGTCTGTGAATGACCACAGTTCCAGTCTTATGGGGAAGGCCAGAGAGAGAAGCTACATTGTGGAGAGAAACGGGAAGAACCGATGACATTCCAAGCTCTGGAGTCCCAGGACGTGCCCTAGTCCCTGTCTTACCAGTTGTCAGCTCTTCTTCCTTTGGCTCTGTGGGCTACGTCAGTATCTCCAATGTATCCCCTTTTCCACTTAAGCTAGTCTGAGTTGGGTGTTTGTCACTTGAGGCCCAGAGTAGGTGAGGATATAATTTTCTCATTCAGCTGAAGGTGGTTTGTAGGAAAGTTTCCCAAGGTGGCAGTAGAACTCAGTAGGGTCATCCATGAAAGAAAGGGCGTCCTGGGCAACTGCTGGGCACTCCAGCCCCTCGCTCCCCGTCCTACATAAAGAATCTGGGGGAGCATCCGCTGCTTAAAAGAATATCTCATCTACATTTCTTTCATTTATTTATTCCCCAATCTTGAAAGTGTTCCCTCTTCTTAACCCAAGATCGATCCCCAGATGGTCTGGCACGAAAGCATGCTCTCTTGCTACCACACCACACTGCCCCACTGCAGAGTCATGGCGGACACCTCAGCCCCCGAAACTTGAGACTACAAAACATCCTTGAAACACATTCCATGCAATGCAAAGGAAACCACACTGGCATTGAAGCCAGCAAAGCACCCCCGGAACTAAACAGGGGTCTGCAGCCCCACCTCAGAGGCTTGTGTCTGGAATGCTGGCACTACCCATTCACATGTCACTCGTAGGGTCTGTCTACCCATTACCCACAGGTCAGGTTCTGCTCTGGGCTGAGCGGGAAGGGGAAAGAAGGTGGGGAGACCGATGAGAAATTGGAGGAAGAGAGGCCCTGCATCAGGAGAGGGAGCACACAGGGCAGGGAGGTTTAGGCTCTGCCTTTACCACCTGTGTGACCTTGGACACGGCTCTTAAGCTCAGGGAGCCTCATCCAAAAATGGAACTAGTTGTACTATACTTACGGGGTTGTTCTGAGACTTAAAGTAGGCAACTTATGTATGGAAAGTATCTGGACCAGAGGAGCCCCTTAAAGTATGAGAGTTTCGCTTTCTTCTCACCACGCACTCCTTCTGTGCGTCTGGTTTTCTTGTGGTTGAGACTCAAGGACATTTTCAACCTCTCCCAAACCCTCAAACTCTACCGTGGCCAAAGAACATGAGGAAAAAACATGGCACGTTTCTTTCCTTCTCTCCCTTCCTCCCTCCCCACATCCCCATAGCATATTTCTTGTCAGTGATTCTCAAGTGGGTCCTTCGGCTCCTCAGCAACTCCTGTGGATGGAGTGGAGACCCCCTGAGAGGCAGCCTGACCACAGGGCTGTGCTGGCAATCTGAACATCCCAGTCCCCTGACCTTTACCCTCCAGCAGCAAGTGCCATCTCCCCACTGCCCATTGTGAGCCTCTCCCTTTCCCCCTGCTGGCCCCAAGGTCCAGGCTGTTTGCTTCTCTTCCTGTGAGTTCTGCCCCCAATCCTTGTTCTCCTGGTCCAGACTGGGTACTGTTTCTTGCTTTTGCACCCCCCACCCCAAGGAAGAGGTAACCGGAGAAGCGGGGAAATGTCAATGCTTAGGAGTGAAGGGGCCTAGGGGGATCTCCCAGTCCACTTCTGAGGACTCCTCAGAGAGTACTGATCTCAGAGTCCCTCCCCTCCCCCAACCTACTGGCTCCCGTGGACAGGGGCAGTGGGAAGACTTTGGCCTTCCTTTCCTGCCAGGGAGGATGACAACTCCAGCCCCGAGGCAGCCTCCCTCCACCTGGACAACTGAATTGGAGCTAGATGGTTTGTAATGAGATCAATCCTCCTTTTGCTTTTTTTTTTTCTCTCTCTCTCTCCCATTGCAGAAAGATTGGGGAACTTGCTGCTTCTAAGGCAAACAGCTGGAAAGGGTAGGTGGGATGAGGACTCTAGGCAGTCCCGAAGGGTGCCCAGTAGCAGGGCACTGCCCAGTGTGGGCTACATGAGTGATGAGATGGGCCACAGCTTCACAGACTCAGGTTGAGAGCCGTAATAATTTGTCTTGTCATTCATTTGACAAGTGGGGAAACCAAGGCCCAGACAGACTAACCCATAGACTGATAAAACTTTGTATAACACTTTACCATTTACAGAGCCTATCCATAGCCTTAAATGGAAAAGAACTGTCTAAATGGAAAAACTCATACAAAAGCATAGCGCCGCCATGCACTATACTCATTCACTGGTTCAACACACAGATACAACACCTGCCCTGTCCAGGGGCTGGCTAAATCCCGAGCACTCAGTGACATGCAGGATCAACCTGGCCCTGCCCCCACGGGGCTTCCATCCCTGGAGATCACATACCTCTCACTCACTCTTACAACTTTCAGAGGAACACTGACTGACGTAACTCTTCTCCCCATTTCACAAGGGAGAAAAGCGAGGTCAGAGAGGATTCATTTGCCCAAAGTCACATAGTTTCTTTCTTTCTTTTTTCTTTTTTTTTTTTGCAGAGGCACGACTTAAAACTTAAGCCTTGATGCCAGTGCAGCTTCAGAAAGTCACCAAAGGTGTATGTGTAGAAAAATGTCTAACAACTGGCTTCCGGAGTGGGGAGGGGTGATGGAAGGAAGGGTCCTCAGTGCAGCGTTTGCCGATTTCTGTGACAAAGTGGCTGATTTCAAGCTACCGATTTGGAGTCACTGAGCACAGAACTGGGAAGAGACACGGCCAACCTCCTCTTATGAGTCTGTACAAGCTTTTCCGGCACACCACTGCTTAAGCTTTCTTTAGTTGTTTCTAAGAGAGTTGAAGGGAAACATTTACAATTAAAAATAAATAAATCAATAAATCATTAAGCCAGTGTCCCAAAGATCTAGTAATTGTGTGTTTATTTTTCTCCGAAACAACTCTAAGTCTGAGATAGAAGAGGCCCAGGAGGCAAGCCTTGTACACATCAGGCAGTAACTGCCGAGTTTTCACAGGGTTACCAGGGTCCGAGGTAAGAATGAACCCTCCAAAAGCTAAAGGAGTGAGGTACATGGAGCCCTGTACAGTCATGTGCGTGCGCGCGCGCACACACACACACACACACACACACACACATACTCCAGATGTTTTTGATACAAGAAAGGCTCCTTACCAAGCAGAGGTGGGGTCTGAGACAGGGACGAGGAAGGCACCTTTCTGTAATTCATCTGCCCAGAGGAAGCAGCAATTTTCAGTTCGCTCAAAGGCCCAGGCTGGTTTGTGCTGCCGAACCCTCCCTGTGTGACTCCAACTGCTAGGTGAATGTGGCAGGGGCTTTGAGTGAACCTGGGGGTTGCAGGACATCTAGGTGGAGGATGAGGAAGTTATAGGCAACCTTTCACAGCTTCATCACACCCACTACCCCCAGGCACCATCTCTCCTTCTGAAAAATCACCCCTATTGGCACAGAAATGTAATAGGATAAAAAATAAATGTGAAACTCCAGGTCTTCCTCTAAGGTGCCTGAGGCCATGAGGTCTAGAGTCTATGCAAACATTTCTTCCTTTATCTGCCCCATCCTTCAAGGCTCAGCTCAGAGGACATGCCCTCCTTCAAGACTTCCCCCAACTTTGGGCACAATAAGTGGCCCGTCCTCTGAGCTCCACTGCCCCCTGTGCAATGTCCGGTGTCACCTGTTACATGGCTCCAGCAATATTTACCTTGCTGGTCACTCGCACAACCATGCTCCCCAAGGGCCAGGGCCCGCGAGTTAGTTGTCTCTGTTCCCCAAGCCCTAGTGCCAGGCTCTGC